GTTTTAATACGAGCCGGTTTTCACCAACCAATATTAAAACCACCGATTTCTGCAGAACCTTGTAAACAAAAATAGAAACGAGAAGTGACGTTTGGGAGCTTAGTACAATCGTGAAGCGAATGAGGATCAGTCCGTCTCCTCTGGTGAATTCGCCTTTTATTTCCACCTAGACCTGGAGGTGGAATTGGAAGGGCTGCCTGCGTACATAGAATGTGCGGTAACTGATATGGGGATTAAACACTAGCACCACCTGTTGGTAATAAATTAAAATTCCTCTTAATGGAATTAATTAAATTTACCCTTACAGGTCCCTTACAAGGGACAATTAATATTTTAAGCTCCGTTAAGTCATTATTGACAGGTTTTAGTTTCCTACTATGATTTAAAACGAGCATTAAAACTGCAAGGCTATACGCCGGTATCAGTTTGATAAGGGAGCTTTTGGCCTGACCTGAGAAACTCCAAGAGACAATGAGTGTTAATTAGGATTATGACTTTCTTTATCAGGCAAATCAAGTAAGTGTAATTAACGGTAGCTGATTATATGAGATAATAATAATAATAATGCTTTATTTGCCCTACAGGAACACCCATTTACAGGACAAAGGCGAAAATACATAAAGAAAAGTGATTAATCCTAGATTAGTAATAAACGCTAAAAGTGAGAACAAAAAAAGAGAAAAAAAATACTCTGCAGAAACAAATAATGCAAAAAAAAACAAATGATTTGAAAATAAAGTACCTACGCCAAGATATTAGGAATTATTTAGACGCTATTTCAAGAATATATTTATAGCAGTTATAGCAGTAAACCGCATCCCATTAAGTCTTAGGGGTCTCAAAAAAAACCGCTCTTAATTAATTTGAATTAGAGGGCCAATGGCAGACCTTGAGGATGTCGGCAGGCCGCACAATTAATGAAAGAAGTTTTAATTTTTGGATGTAGAAAACAGAATACGCCGGCGGTCTTGGAATTTCCAACGTTACCTCCATGGCATGGCCGAATTTTATAAAAGGTAACGCCGTTTTCTTCGAGGGGATCTTTTGCATCTTTTCAAATTACTTTCGTAAGTACCACAATTTTTGAGCTTTTCAGTAAATTTATTTTGGAAACCTCACCGTATTTTAAATCATCGATTTTTTTGCATTAAGTTTACCGCGCCGAATTTACTGCTTTTGCTTTTTCTTGTACAGAAATTTCTACCGCTACGTTCAATCGCAGGGTAAGCCTTTTGCTACTTTCTATTCCATGAATTATAAGGGGGAATATTGTTTCGCTTTCCTGCACTTGATTTCCTGTAGCAACCGATAATGAATGTGTGCATTGTTGGTTGCGTTTCCGTTAGGGCAATCGCTAGAGTAACCGTTTGCCATAATTTTGCTTTCACATCCTTTGCCAGAAGCTGTTAGGAAATATCCGTAACCAAGACAATGATAGTTGGCAGTTGTGAGTTAAAAAAATGGAATTATTACAATATTATGTGTTTTCCTATTAATAATATAGCACATTATATACCAAGGTAGAGAAGTCTAGTATTATTGCCTGAGCACTAAGATCACGAGGCGCTTGCGCTGATGGGTGTAAGGTGCGAATTAGATAATCGGCCAACTATTTCATAACTATTTATATATTTATAATTGTTAAGTGAATATCGAGCAAATATATAATTACAATGTAACTGTATCGAAAACCAGTATATAATTAAACGTTAATCAAGTAGTCGACGAAATAAAAACTACAGGTCGCAACGGCCTTGTTGAGTTCAAGAAGGGCGCTTTCTGCTAATCTGTAACAGACAATAACACAAACAAAAAAATTAAAAGGTTAGTGAATAGCGCGGCACATAAAATATTGCGTAAACAAAGCTAACGTGTGACACGGAGGCAATCGGATATAAAAACTGCAATTACTACTCAATAAGAATCAATAATTCGAATTACTACACACTAGGAAAAGCAAAATTTTGATCGACCACGGATTATCCTTACAAACGTCGGGGTATAAATGCATAGACGTGACGTTAATTCAAGAAAAGTACTTTATGATGCACAAATAACTACATTTCTATTGGTCCAATCAATTCAAAACATAACGTAACTAAAACATGTAGATATCAACTTCGGACAGAGTCTCGGTAGCCTTAAAAACTTATTTACAAAGCAACAGTAGCTAATATCGGTAAACCAATGTATATATAGGATATGAAATGTAGTTAAACTAATGCAAATTGATGCTGGGAGTCACACAAAAGTAACAGTAGGTAATGTAGATTCAATCGGGACTCGATAAGTGTATTCTTCAGCCACGACACAGGTAGTGTAAGTAAAATCAGAGATATCGAAGTAATTGAAAAACTCGTCTAAACTTATGCAGCTGCAGAACCAATCAATACCAAAAGGCTGACAAAAATTGTCGAGTACTGTGTGTTCTTCTACAAGTAATGATCGAATTTGGTCTTTATGCAAAAAAGTGCGTGCGCCGAAGAAATTAAAGAGAACTCAGCACAACCTCCGTCGGCGAAACAAAGAACTTCACAAATTTACTACAGGAATTAACTTACATCTAAAACTAGTGGAGAATATTGGTGTTTCGGTATTAAGTTGAACCCCAATGGATAATTTTGATTTTCTTGTAAACGAAAGGAGCACAAATTTGGAGATTGGCGCACAAATGAGCACAACATTTTAACGATGTTACAGATTAGGGTGTCGAAGTGCTAACTTAATCCACTCATTATTTGTCCATAGTCTATCCACTTGAAGAGTTCAGCCTAAATGCGTTTAGAAGCGACTTTAGGTACGCAATTTCTAAAATTCTTACTGAAAGTTATTTAAAAGAACATCCAACAAATTTCGCAGCCAAAGTTGGTAACTGTATTTCAGTTCATAACATACCCAATGTTTGTCAACAAATAATTTGATAAGCGTCAATGAAAGCCTTATCAAAAGAAGTAAAACTGAATTAAATAGAACACATCCCCTTGAGAGGTATTTCATTTTCCAAACTGTAGACCTCTTTTCTTAACGCGTAAAAATTGCAGGGTATCTTTCTGGCATCGATTACGTTCTCGATGTATTAATGCTCTACAAGTTTACTCTGTAAACCTATTTCCTACTACTACATGTTGCCTTCATTTACTTTATAAGGTTCATTAAATAGTAATAATTTACAAGTTAGTAAGTTTGTAACTAAGTTCTCCTACTACGCACACGACACATTTCCGTTACGATCGTTCACAAAGAAGTTCCAACGAAAATAAGTTCGAGTAATACTGGGACCATAACCTGATGCGATCCGTGGTTAAATAAATAAAGAAGTCTTGCACCAATTGAATGGTGGTAAAGATAAATATAATTTAACATGGCAAAAGGCATCGTGACAATTTCAGTATCTGTTATTTATACTAGTATGTCACTCTCAAATCAACACATTAACAATCGAAATCATTAAGGGCCATTATGGAATATAGTAACTGCCTTCTCATTCTCATTCTATTAGATTTAATTACAAATTCCAACCCCTACCCTAGTGTTAGTAATTAATATTATCAAATATTGTAATTAATATGCACAGATGTACCCTTATTACCCTACACTAGAATTAAGGATAAATCTTTTCGTATGTCGAGGCCACGCTTTAATTGAAATCAACCGAAATTTGATAAGCAGATATAGGCATTGTGTATTCGGTTACGACAATAAGATATATCGTACATTCAAAATCTATTTTATAAGGAATATCGTATAAAGAACATTGTATAAAGAGCATTCAGTCTTCATTTAGATGTAGATACATGTAAAGGGCGAAGTTCACTTAGAGCCTACATCGCCACCAGTGTGTTCTTTCACTTAACCCATAACATTAATTTTGAATATAACACTATATGTTTATATTATTTGTAATTAAACAGTAGTTTATAAAGTAGCGCTCTGAATAAATGAACTTGAGTGATCGTTCTTAGATGAAACATGCTTTCCATATTATAGTAGCACATCTTGAGTAAACGTTTTTAGTAATGTAACGCTTTAATAATTAATAATATAGGTAGTCGGTGTGATAACGTGCGGTATTCTGGAATTTATAACAGTTTTATTAATTTTAAAATCTGCATTCGTTTCCAAAATATCGCGCTGTCCCATTTTCGCTGAACACCATGTATATTCAGAACACTGTGGCAGTTTGATGTTTGATTTAACCAGCACACTATACAAGTTTAAAGGTAATTTTTCAGGGAAAAGGTTCTACAGTAAATAATTGTGCATCTGTCACTAAGCTCCAGTCGGAACAATTTAGGAAATTAATAAGAAGTTTCCCTTTTCTAATAAAGAATCCATATGCTGTCAGAGTAAGAGAGTTCAAAGTCGTAAATTGAGTAGTAAAGCCTATTACATTTTCAATAGATTATTACTGGTAACAACGTCTGTCAAACGTAATCCCCCTCACTCCAATCCCTAGTGTTCCATTTTCAATTTGTATGTGAACGATTTCCGCAGCGCTACATTACCATTTATAACTGTAAAGGCTCACTTGTAATACTACAAACTGTCGTCAGTCAGGTTTCGCATTTTTACAAAATCTAAAGTTTGCAACGGACTGTTGTTCAACAAAAATTCGTCTTCGCCCTGAAAGCTTTTGTTGAAGTTGAAGATAATGTTGATTGTATTTTAAATTCCATTAGACTATAAGATAAGTTTAAACAAACTTAAAAGTTTCGAATAATATTAATTTAGGAGAAACTCGCGCCGCTTAATTAATTTACCAATTGTGCCAAGCGAAACCTCATTATGTTGCTATATAAGCTGACAACGGTTTTAACAACCATCAACCCCTCCTATCACATGTTTGCTGAGAGGTTACTTATTTTGTATCCTTCAAACTAAAGTGGTGGATATAACCCAGATTTCCGAAGTAGGTACTCAATTCAATTGAAACACCGATACACCTTCTGGATTGGTCACTTTGCATACAAAATATGAATATTATATCAATTCAAATTTACCTCTTGTACGTTTAAACGTGTCGGCGACAATGGCGTCCATTTCATCTATATTTTTAGGAATATAATCAGAATACAGTTTAACATCTGTGACAGTAAGGCCGTGAGCAGTTGATAACTCCTGTAATGAGAAATTCGAAAAAGTGCACGCGTGGAAAACGTAAATAGAAGAACGTGAAACTTACTTCGATTGCTTCTCGTACTTCGCTGCCGGAAGCGGGGTGATATCCGGAGACGAGGACGAATTTACGCCATCCAAATGCCGTTAGCAGTGCGACCACGCTTTTTGATACCTTACTGGAGGGCGGCAGTGTTCTGGCGAACGTGTAAAATACGCGTTTGTCGGAAACGCGGGTTTCGCTGCATTTCTGAAATTAAAAGGCTTTATTGATCAAATGTAGTAATATTCATCAAGGTAAATAGAAAAATGGTCATCTTTGAACAATGCTTAAAGATTTGAAGGTGCCTTTTATTGCTTACTTAAACTGGATCTTGGTTACCAATCTAAAATGGAGAAACTAAAAAATGTTGGCATAGCACTTTTATATGAAAAAGACACTTTACTTTAGCCAAGGCAAGAACCACTCAATTTCTGGTTTTCGAAAGTGTTTGGAAAACTACGTTTCTAACTGTTCGTAAAAGAAATACTTTCGAATTGCAGCTAATATCCGACTGTCTCAAGACGCGTTAACGTTACCTATAGTATTAGTATCGGTTTTTTCAGGCACTCTCGTCATAATCTCCTAAAACAAGAACTAAAATAACGTTATCTGCAGCTACGTGCAGATGCTTTTTTGTTGAACGTTCTTAAAATGTGAAATGCATAATTTGTCATTTTAATATCACCAATAAAAAATTAAATAACTACTGAATTATGTATATTATTGAAAATATTCGGTAAATGTTGCTGAAATTTGGTTTCTGATGACCTGAGAGCAAAAGTGCCGTTATTGACAACCTACCGCTATCTTCTACAGTATTTATCCGAATTTTATAAAATTTGAATATGGCCATTTGAAATTAAGGTAAACAAGATTCCAAGTGTCAAGGTGCCTTACATACTAACGCTCTCTTAAACTCTAAAGTAATCATCTCATTTGAATGCGCGGGAATCCACGACTTTTTTATCGGGAAAATTCCAGAGTGCGACCTTGCACCATAAAACAAGGTCACTTTTTAGTTATGTAACCGAGAAATCCCCTTAACCGAGACCGCGACCTTTTCGTTGGGAAAGTCAAACCATAAAACGGAATCGCTACTTACTAAGAAGTAGACATACAGCTTTACGATATGGTTTTTTCCGAGATTTATTCCCTATGTCATATTAATTAATTTGAATATCGTTGCGTTCGCTTCTGTACTTTTATTTTCGTTCGTGTGCGATGTATTCAACTGAAAAAAAGTTCATATCGGCAATTAGTATATAGCGCCGCGTGAGAGATCCATTTTCTGTGAAACCAGAGCTGGGCAGAATACTTTCAAAAAGTATTTGAATACTAAATACTTTTACGTCCAGCACAAGCGAATACTAGATACAGATACATTGAAAAGTATTCAAATACTTAAAAAATAAGTACTTATTCAAATACTTTAGAATGTATTCGAATACTTTCAAAAGTATTCGAATACTATAAAAAGTATTAATATTCGAATACTTTGAAAAGTATTTCATTAACTTACTTTGAAAAGTATTCGAATACTTGTCACTCACATACATTAAAAATTTAAAATAGTATACTAGATAAAAGGCTTAATATTACTTAAAAAATCAAGTTATACTTTGTATGGGGTTACCTTTTTTATATTTCTATTGTTATATACAAATTTAAGGGGAGTAAAAGCCTATTATTATTATTATATTATTATATAGGAGGTACCTACCAGGACCTTCCTTATACCAGTTACATCCTTAAGAATACGTGTACCAGTTTTCAAAGCGATGGTTTCGTGCACATGATACGTACGCCTTTCTGAAATTAATCCTAGCGATTTTGGAACAGATCCATTTTTGACCATCCGTTTGTCCGTGTTTAGAAACGTGCGATCGCTTTGAAAATTGGTATATATGGTCTTAAGGATATAAGAAAGGTCCCTATTGTTTTTAAGTTACGTAGACTATCGAGTTCGGTATTCAGATGTATCGGATTTTTATATTTAATTTTGTGACAATGGAAACTTTCCCTAAACATTTCTAAATTGTTCTTAAATATTTGAATAACTTAAAAGTACTGCCTTTTTTTGAGGCCGGAAAAAAAATTGTCTGAGATCGACCGGGAAACATTTTCTTATAGACTTTGGCCCGTAGAATCCATAATTTCAAACAGTTTGAAGATTGGGCTACTAGATCAAAAGTTACAGCCCTTTGAATTTTTTTTCGAAATTTGTTTTTTGTCCATAACTTTTTATTGAGAGGTCTAATCGAAAAAGTACGAATTGTTTTGGATTCTACGCACCAAAATTAATAAGAAAAAGTGTTTTCCCGAGAAATTTTGGTGTAGTCGATTTTTGGTAAAAAAGGAAGGTTATACACTGCCTTTTTTTGAGGCTCGAAAAAAAAATTGTCTCAGATCGACCCGGAAAAAAATTTTCTTATAGAATGTGGCCTGTAGAATCCATAATTTCAAACAGTTCCAAGATTGGGCTACTAGTTCAAAAGTTACAGCCCTTTGAATTTTTTTTCGAAATTGGTTTCTAGTCTATAACTTTTGATTGAGAAGTCTGATCGAAAAAGTACGAATTGTTTTGGATTCTACGCACCAAAATTAATAAGAAAAAGTGTTTTCCCGAGAAATTTTGGTGTAGTCGATTTTTGGTAAAAAAGGAAGGTTATACACTGCCTTTTTTTGAGCCCCGAAAAAAAAATTGTCTCAGATCGACCCGGAAAAAAATTTTTCTTATAGAATGTGGCCTGTAGAATCCATAATTTCAAACAGTTCCAAGATTGGGCTACTAGTTCAAAAGTTACAGCCCTTTGAATTTTTTTCGAAATTGGTTTCTAGTCTATAACTTTTGATTGAGAAGTCTAATCGAAAAAGTACGAATTGTTTTGGATTCTACGCACCAAAATTAATAAGAAAAAGTGTTTTCCCGAAAAATTTTGGTGTAGTCGATTTTTGGGAAAAAAGGAAGGTTATACACTGCCTTTTTTTGAGGCCCTAAAAAAAATTGTCTCAGATCGACCCGGAAAAAAATGTTCTTATAGAATGTGACCTGTAGAATCCATAATTTCAAACAGTTCCAAGATTGGGCTACTAGTTCAAAAGTTACGGCCCTTTTAAATTTTCTTTCGAAATTGGTTTCTCGTCCATAACTTTTGATTGAGAAGTCTAATCGAAAAAGTACGAATAGTCTAGATTCTACGCACCAAAATTAATAAGAAGAAGTGTTTTCCCGAGAAATTTTGGAGTAGTCGATTTTTGGTAAAAAAAGGGAAGGTTAAGTATTCAAATACTATGCGAAGTATTCGAATACTTCTCAAAGTATTCAAATACCTTGCGAAGTATTCGAATACTAAATATTTGTGAAAGTATTTGAGTTACAAATACAAATACTGCTTCCATAAATGTATTTAATTACAAAGGTTTTGAATACTAAAAAGTATTTACAAAATCGAATACTGCCCAGCTCTGTGTGAAACCAAAGCAGATATTCAAATTAATTAATATGTTTAAGAAGATGTTAAATTAGGCGCCCTTCGTGGGAATCCGCCATATTTTAAATAAAAGAACGTTGTACAATCCCATTCATCTCTTCTTATTCTATACTGTGTGCAAAATTTCCTCTTTCGGTGACTAAAAAACGCATTTCAAATTTTTTGAAAAATCTTTGAAAGTTGAGATATTACTGAAAAACTAAACATGTAAAATTTCGTTTTTCCCTAGCTGAATATTTTTAAGAAACATAGATTTAATGGTGATCTTGAGTGAAGACTTTTTCTTAAGTTTACTTGACGATTATTGTTAGCATGCATTATTCACCTTTCGAAGGATTTCCTCTGATTATCAACAGCTATCAGACCGATTAAGTATGCTAAAAATTTAATGGGGACAAACTTTTATTTTTAAAAAGTTGGCTTAAAAAAATCAGAAAATACTAAGTAAAGATTTAAAAGCCTAAGTAATCTAGTTACCTTTTCCAAAGGTCACGAAAGTAGGTACGCTGCTTGTAAAAAGTGCTTTTCTTCAGACCCAAGTTTGGAAACCCTTATTATAATTATTGCAGTAACGAGAGAAGACAGCATTACCTATATGCCTCTGAAAAATTTTAGTTTTAGCATCAAGTGCCGTAACGAACAAATTAGTATGCGTGGAAACTTTACCTTCAGTCCCTGTAATTGAAATACACAGTCTAAATTTTTTGTGTATTTAATAAGTGTAATTTATGTGCGCAATAGCTTCGCTCTTTAGTAATCACAAGATGAAACTTTTTGTGGCTCTACAAACAAAATGCAGACTCGTGCGTATTATCTAATTAATTCGGTACCAAGACCAGACAAAATCGGAGATCAATTCTACTCGTGGACTAGTTTTTCATCATCTACAAGAAAAACAAAATCCTTGGAGACTATGTGCAATTAAGTTGTTACGTCAACTTTTACGTCCATGTTTTCTCCGATATACTGGTTTTAGAATATCATAACGTTGTGTTTTTAGCGTAAAAAAAGGTGTAAAAGACCTGCAAAGGTATTTACACAGTAGCGTGCTTCTTTCATATTAAAACACCCACCCGATTATCACATTATATGAGATTACGCACATTGGAGCTTACTGGATTACAGAATCTATAATAGGTGCAAGCAAGCCCCGCTGAGGAAAATTTGACTGAACGATTTTACCAAATAGATTTATATAAAAATTTACCATTCCAGACGAGATGCTTATCGAGTATAGAAATTTTACCATGCTACTTGAAATTCTTAACATATCTGCTACTAAGGCAGGTCTTTTTTCAAAAAAATATATATATATATGTTGAAACTGCAATTGAATTTGAGAGAAGGTGTGTTATTCCGGGGAGTAAATCCATTTGCAAAAGGAGTGGCAATAATATCGTTTTCGTACTTCCGGGACTAAAGTAACAACTTCACTCCATTATGACAAGTACTGAAGTGTCACTTTTTGTCCCGCCGGGATTAAATTTAGACGAAAATCCCGGAAGGATGAAATTACTTACAAGGCAATTTCAGTAGGTTGTTCCACATTTTGTATGCGGCACTACTTCTTAAACGCATCGTACTGCTGCTCATATAGTTTTTTGGATTTCGATGGTATCAATTCTATACCTACTTTGGGTGCTTTTTGTCAATATCAAATATACCTTTGTCACCTACCACCAAAATTATGACACTAGCAATGACAGTTTCCAAATT